CGGTTCATGTTCCCAGGTAGAAAAGTGGCAAAGGCGAAGGAGGTCGCCTGTGCCCGCTCGTCCTGAAAGGTGGTGACAGAAGAAGGCGAGTTGCCGGTCAGGTTAAGCTTGGCATCAGGGGGTGAAGGAACGTCACACCGAGCCACGGGCTCCGACCCGGCTGCAGGGACGCCGTGCCGGGAAGCTGCCCTGAGCTGGTGACCTTCCCTCTTGCCTCCTCGCGGAGCCTGAGGAGCCACTGTACCTGGCCCGGGCAAGCCTGCTACCCTCTGCGGCCTTCACACTCTGCACCTCTCCAGTGCCCTATCACCCGCACCCAGCTTCACCTCCAATCTTTTAGCCCTTTCTCTTGTTCTTATTCTAGCCATTCTGTCTCCCCTGACTTCCCTTTGGTCTCACAAGGAAGAAAGTCAAGATGGAAGGACAGAGGGAAAAATCAGATTTTTTTCCAAGAAGTTGAATGCCTGCTGTACCATTACTGCTCCTCCCTCAGTTAAAGCATCCTTTCAGAGAAGCAAAAAGAGAAGATTTTTGGTTCAGTCAGTTGTGGTTTAGGGCTTGGGGTTTTTTTTGTTTTGTTTCAATTGTTTTTTTCCTTAAGACTCTTGAAGTCTCAAATACAAACCATGAGTTACACAGATGCAACAATTGTATATTTTTGTGAGCTTTCCCTCAGCAAACTAACCAAACTAGAGCTAGTTTGGTTAAGGAGTCAAGTGCATCTGTCATATCCACATGGAAAAGCAACAAGTTAAGAAATTTTTTTATAACTTAGGCTGCATTTTTGTTGTGAAATCCACTTTACAACTCAAGTGTGCAATTGAAAAGAGCCCAGCCTTTTTTTTTCTTTTGGATACAATTTTACTTCCTAATGAGTAGATGGTGTTCATCATTTTCCATTACTCAACACTAGGGAGTGATGACTCAATGCTGACCATGATGAGACAGACCAGTCCTGCTTTAATCCTACAACACACAAAGAAAATTACCTTGATAAATGCGTCTTTTTCTGTGGTGCTGCTGTCCTAAAAGCATGATTTCGGTTACAGGATCTACCCTGCTGTCTAGGTAGCCAAGCAACCACAAGATCTCAAAGTATGTACAAACTGATGTATAGCAAACTCACACTGAAGAGTGCTTCCTCATTTGCAGTGATGAGGAAATAGCAATTTTGGTTTAAGTATGTGTCTGTGAACACACCTGCAAATGTATCAGTAGCTGGCAGTTTCTTCTAAAAAGCTCCAAGAAGCCAAACCAATACATGTGGTATTAGTGCCATAAGGCAGTAATGAAAACAAAGGTTTTATTTATGCTGTGACACTTAACACTGGTTTCAAACAGAATAATTACAGTTGTGAGGTGGTATCATGTAACCACCACAAAAAGCATGTTACAGAATAAAGAGTTCTGGTAGGATACACAAGTTTAATGCTAGAGAGCGAGCTGTGGGAAAAACACTTGCAGCGTGCATGAACTGTGTACAACTCACTGTGAAAGAAACTTCAAGGACAGAAATAAACCTTTAAAGACAGAGTTAAGGCTCTTACTTGCAAGTGATCTTCCTATTGGAAGTGTATTGAAACTATTTTCTGTCAACAGGATGCAGTCTGAGGACTTAAACCTGTGCAAGAAGCATCACAACTATGATGCCGTGGAGCTCAACATTCATGTTAAGGGCTGAGTGTCTTTTGTTTCCTCTTTACATCACTCTTGACTGTAGGAATGAGCCTTTACCATATGCTCCCCAAGATTAAAACATGCATACAACCCAAGCCCCCATCAAATCTAAAAATGAAGAAGGTATTTCTC